ATTGGAGCTAAGGGCATACACTGTCTAACAGCTCCCACTTGCACTTAGGTTCAATCTTGTATAAGCCGGAGCTTGGTTTGACAAATTTAGAAATGCTATCTTAAAGATCGTGTTCTCTTAATCTTAGGTAAACTATACCTTGTTTATAAGAAGAGTTAATGGTAGAAATACATTGTTGATGACATTGTTGTGACGGGTGATGACATTACATGTATCTGTTAGTTAAAATCCTTCCTTGCTTGAATTTGAGACTAAAGATCTTGGTTATCTCAAATAATTTCTTACATTAAGGTTACAAGAGCTAAGAAGGGAATCTTTCTTTCACAAAGGTAGTGTGTTCTTGGCTTGCTCCATGAACTTGCAAAATTGGGGTGCAAGCTTGTTGAAACACCAATTGATCCTAACCACAAGTTGTGTGCTATTGAAGAAGTTCTTCTAGATAGAGAGATACATTAGATATTGGTAGGTTGTCTCATGTATCTTTGTTTAACTAGTCTTGACATATCTTATGTTGTTAGAGTGGTTAGCCAACATATGCATAAACCTAGAACATCTCACATGCAAGCAATTAATAGAATTTTAGCTTATTTGAAAGGGTGTCCTAGTAAAGGAATGTTATATTCCAATCATGGTCACCTAAAGATTGAGGCTTGCACAAATGCAGATTGGGGTTGGTCCATCGATGATAGAAGATTTACATCTGGTTTTTGTGTCTTAGTTAGAGGAAAGGTGGTTTCATGGAGAAGTAAGAAACAATTAATTGTTGCTCATTCTAGTGCTGAGGCTGAATACAAGACAATGGCTCATAGGGTGTCTGAACTACTCTAGTTGAAGACCTTATTGACTGAGATAGGCATACAGGCTGATACTCCAATGAGATTATATTGTGACAATCAAGTAGCTCTAAAACATTGCTCACAATCCTATTGTAAAGTTGGACAAACACTTTATCAAAGAAAGGATTACTAATAGAGAATTTGCCTTCCTTTTGTAAGGTTGGAAGACCAACTTGCTGATTTCCTTGCTAAAGGTGTTCATCATCCAAAGTTTGTCAAGAACCTTGTCAAGCTGGGCATGATTGACATATATGCTCAGCTTGATGGGCATGATTGACATATATGCTCAGCTTGAGGGGGAGTCTTGAGAATGCTCGGGTAGGGTTTTTCTTGGTCTTTTCATTATTTATTTGTATTTGGGTGCCCAAGTGAGGGCTTTCTTGTAATTTTCCCTCAAAATATAAATATCAGTTTTGAGGGTGTGAACAGTAACACCTCTCATTTGACAATCTCTCTCCTCTCCTCTCTTCTTTTTTTCTTCTCTCTACAAACAAACCCTAGATTGATTTATACCCACAAGGAGGAGATCTCTAATAATGTGACAATCAACTTTGGGATGCTTTCTGTGCTCATGGAACACTGGATTAGAAGCAACCTTGATGACACCGAGATTGTTAGCAAAGAGAGGAACTGGATATGGGAGATTAAGATGAGCAAAAAGCCTTGAAGCAAACATTGCCACTGCAAACATAGGAAATAGCCCTATATTTAGCTTCAATAGAGGATTTAGAAACTGTAGACTGCTTTTTACACTTTCAAGAAATGAAAGAGTCACCCAAAAATACACACCAACTAGTGTAAATAGAATGTGTTTACAAAAATACCTGTTTATGATAAATTTTGGACAGGAGTACCTTTAATAAAAGAAAGGAAATACTAAGCTATCCTACTTCCCCAAATACAAGAAATCTATTCCCCTTAACACCTACAAATTTGAATGTTTCAACAGAATACATGGACCAAGCTGTACATACAGAAAATACAGTATGTTGTTCTCATCCATTGCATTCTCTTTTAGATCTTACCATGAAACCCTAATGCGTTTGAAATGTATAGCTCTATATTTGTTCCATTTCCAATTTTCCATGTGCTATTTGTTTGCATGTTATTTCTATACATTGTTTTGATTCATAGATGATTGACAATAACTTATTTTAATTATTATGAACATGTGCATAAATTGGTATATTGATTTAAGACCTTAATATTTTTTTGTCAGCGGGTTAATCAATGCCTTCGAGATGCCTGTGATGCTTATGGAATGGAGAATCCTTCTCGAGTTGGTTATTGTAGGGAATTCATAGATTGTGGGCGTGGTGATCCAAAAAAGGAGCCAATACAAGAATGGGGCAAATGGAAAAACAATATTAATGCAAGCGGTTGTTTTTCCAAAGATAGTACTTTTGATTATGGAATCTACAAACAAGCTGTTAATATTACAAGGAAATCCAGTATCATTACAAGATATATATATTCCTTGTTTTGGGGTTTTCAGGTGCTTCTTATATCTTTAAGTCAATCTATAGATGTTGCTCATTTTTATTATGTTTTGTGAAAGATATAAATCTTATGATTCTTTTCACCTAATAAAATTTGCAACAGAGAAGGCATATTATTTTTGCTTTGTTTGATCTCAGGATTTGTTATTTAACCTAATCACTACCAATCAACAGTTTTGACATATTGATTATATTGGGGTATTTATGTCTTGTTTTATCCTTGATTACACATGAATATTTTTGTAATTTGTTTTCTTTATTATGTGGTACAAATAACAATAGAAAGGGCTGATTTCTCAACCTTTTTTCTCTAAAAGTTGGTGTATTCTCCCCTTCTCTCTCTTCTTTCCTCTTTTATTTCTTCTTTTTCTTCTCTGTTGTTTCTCTATAAATTAAATCTAGAAAATACACCTTCAAATCAGAGCAAATTTCTTGTTGAGTTTTCTTATTTATTTTAGGTAAATCTCATGTGGATCAAGGATCAACAACCCATATGGGTTGTTTGATGCCTAGGAAGATGTCATATAGATATCACTGGATTTGCCTGATCATTAGTATTTGATTTGCCAGTCTTCAGGGCAGTATCATCCTTGGCACTGGATTTGGGAAAACACTCCAAAATATAGTTCAATAGTGCTAGCACACTATTTATTTTGACTCTTTCTCAAATAGTCCTTGGTGGGATAGCTGAGTGTTGAGAGCATTTTCAGAATGAAAGACCTTTTCTGTGACTGTTATGACTTGGGGAATTTGTTTGTGATCTTCTGTGAAGCAGGGAGCAAGTACCAACCTCTTCTCCCCTTGATTCTAGTGCTGCCCTTTATTGATGTTACCCCTAGGTTTCTTTGGGGAGAGCATTCTTGGTTTTTTTCGACTTGTAAGGTACCATATTCTTGGTTTTTCTGGACTTGTAAGTTACTAGAGGAGAAATCATTGCATCTTTATTTCTCTACCTAGAAATCATTTTGGCAAGAAAATGATAGCCTTGAGATAATTGAACAGGAATGTTTTAGGGATTCTAAAGTGCAAATAAAATTGGTAGAGCTATTGCCTAGGATATGAACTCTAATTTGGTCATATTCTTTGTTCAGACAAGGAGAAAGCCCTTTGTTGATGTGGTAATCTATAATTTTAGTGATGCAGGGGTAATTTAGTCATTTCATCGTACATTATTTTCAGTCTAATAAAATAAGGATTGGTGCCACCAATCTATACTTTTTATTTTTTTGAGAAAGGTATTGTATTGTATTGAAATATACTTTCAAGACATACATCCAGCTGAGTACATTGAGATGTTGTACAGAGAGCTATATAGAAAGATTTGCCACTGATCTAAGTCTGTAAACCCCGGAAAAAGGAGAGACAACAACAGATTTGTCGGTGTGTCCCTTGGAGAGATCAACACCCTAAGAAAGATATTTATATTAGACTGTAAAAGGACAAATTGTCCTTAGTGTAGAAGAGAAGAAATAGTGTACAAGATAAAATAAAATACAGCAAGAGGTAAAAGTACAAAAATAGCCTCCTTGGCTAACTCTTGTTGTGAGGATTATTTAATTGTTATTTTATAGTTGCTGTTAGTGGGTTTAAGATGCTGTCAGTTAGTTATTTTCTTTCTTTCTTATTAGTTTGTTTCTAGGGAGTGCCGCCAGGGGCATATTTGTAACTTCCATTCTTTTTATATTAAGTTAATATAAATAATGAACTGACGGCAGCCAGAGGTGATTTTTTCTTTTTCTCTCAATCATATCTTCCTCTACTTCTCTTTCTCTCTCTTGTCCCTCTCTCTCCATCAATGATTACATGGTATCAGAGCAAGGTTCTGGGCTATAAAAGAATTTCGGTCTCTCCTATTTGAACCTGCTTCATCCTCTTTTCCTTCTTTGATTTCTTGGACTTGGAAGATAGAGAAACCCTAGCAGACTACTTGCGGCTCTTCCTTTGGGTTCTTCCTTGGTCGTAATATCAAGGAAACCCTAGTCGAAGAAGGGCGATGTAGAAAGAGACTCCCTTTCTTCTCTGTTCGATGCTGTGAAGTCAGTTTCTGGTTGGCACCTTTGTACAGGTGCTGGACAGGGTATGTGTTCTTGTTTTTTTTTGTTTTTTGGCCAATGGTGTAAAGGCCTTACTCCTTGGTTCTATATGTTCGTTTGGATGCTGGATTGTTAAACTGTATGGGCTGTAGTCGGACTGATAGTTGCTGTTCTAATGTCTGCCTTGGCTGGTGTTGGACTGATTACCGGGCTGGTTTAATGACCGAACCATCACAGAGTTGATTTCAGCAGTTTTTTGTTTTCTTTTCCACATCCCAGTAGTAAATTTCTTGAGGGTTGGTATTCTGTTTGTGGCTGTTGTGTAGTTGTGTGGGATTTGGTCTGATTTCAGCAGTACTCTATGGCAAACACAGCTGGTATGGGAGGTGAAAGCATGATGTTTCCCATGCCCATTACCCCTTTAAATGGTCTAAACTACCTGGAGTGGGCTAAAAGTGTAAAACTTTATGTAACGGCAAGGGGAAAAGCTGGTTACATAAATGGAAGGGTGAAAGAACCCAAGAGTGAGACAGCTGAACATGATAGGTGGGACCAAGAAAACAGTATGGTGATGTCTTGGCTCCTTGCAGCCATGGAACCTGATGTGAAGAAGAACTTTATGTGGGCTGACACTGCTAGTGAGATCTGGAAATAGGCCAAAACTACCTATTCTGAGCAAAGGCATTAGGCCAAGGTTTACCAGTTGCAAGTTGAATCCTCAACCTGTAAATAGGGAAATCATAGTTTGTCTTCCTATTATTCAGCCCTTACTTCCATGTGGAAAGAATTGGATCATTATTAGGCTATAGAGTGTGTAGAGAAGATGGGCCGAATGGCCCATAGGCTGTTATTCTATGTTATATTTATGTTCTTTTCTATAATGGGCCTTATTCTGGGCCCATCCTCTTCTATGCTGTGTTTTTGTAATTTCTTGCCCAACCAAGGGCCTCTCTTGTAATTATTCAAGAATTAACTTAATAAAATTGTATTAGAGT